CCTGGCTGAGTACAGAGCCGGATGTGGGGCTCAATCTCATGACTCATGAGATCATGGTCTGAGCCGAACAAAGAGTCAGATACTTAACTGAGTGAGCCACCCGGGTGCCCCAGCCTGGGAGATTCTGATAGAGTCTTAGCTATATCTTATAACTAAAAGCTTCCTGGTGTTCAGGGCAAGTAGCTGCCCTCAGTGGATCTGAAAACATTACTCTTAAAAGAATAAAACTTCTCTTCCCTACCCATCGCCACCTCAGTCATCTTCAGATAGACACCGAGGAGGATAAGGACCCTTGGCTAAGAATTTATATGGCTCTTGCTAGAGCAGCAAGCTCAAACTTTCTCTTCATGTAGCTAAAAGAGGATTCATGAATTAAGTGGATATAGGACAAGTTTGGATCTAGTTTCTACTTTGGTCAATTCTAGAAAGGGCTCTATTTAGAAGCAGAAGATTAAAATTGGAACCCTTATGTATGGCTGGTGGGAATGTAAAATGGCGCCGTCACGTGGAGGCTGGTTTGGCAGTTCCTCAAACAGATAAACATAGACTTACCATGAGACCCAGCAGTTCCAACCCTGGGTATAGACACAAAAGAATTGAAAACAGGGACTGAGATACTTGCGTGGCAGTGTTTACTGCACTATTATTCACAGTAAGCAAAAGGTGGAAACAAAGCAAGTATCCATCAACAGATGAGTGGATAAACTACATGTGGAATATCCATATGGAGGAATATTATTCATCCATAAGGAGAGAACAAGTCCTAATACCTGCTACGACACAGATGAATCTTGAAAACATGCTGGGTGAAATAAACCAGACACAGAGGGACAAACATTTTATGATTCAAGTTTTGTGAAATATCTAGAAGATGCAAATTCATAGAGACAAAAAGTAGACGAAAGGTTACCAGAGGCTAGGGATAGAGGGGATGGAGAGTTATGTTCTTAATGGGTTCAGAGGTTTTGTTTGCAACAATGAGTAGGTTTTGTACATAGATAGTGTTGATAGTTGCATAAGATTGTGGATGTAATTAATACCATGGAATGACACACCTAAAATGGTTAAAATGGCAAATTTTATCTCATATATATATATAACCAAAATTTATATGTATATTTTATATCTACACATAACCAAAAAATATATATGTAAAATTTTTTTAAAGAGCTTTAAAAAAAATGGTAGCAGAAGAGAATGCATTTTTGACCCTAAAAGCTGGATGTCTCAAACCAAACAGAAGCTGCATTGCAATAAGTAAATGTAAAGTAGGTCCAACTGCATTAAAATAAAAGACTTCTGCTATGGTTTAAATTTAAAAACTCAGGGGATTCAGAGGAGGAGCCGAGATTCTGCAGAATAATGTGAAATTCTGGAGATACATATTCTTCCACCCTTCCTGTCGGTTTGGGCTGTCTCAACTCTGAAAACCAAAGTTTGTTCTTTGAAGGGTGCACGTGTATGTGGCGCCCTCAACATCTGCATGGTGAGAAGGGGTTCGCATGCTTGTCTGGCCCCATGCTGCCCCCTGGGCTCTCTTTGGGCTCCCATCAAGCGTTGCCCCAGACTGAGTGACCCAGACTTGGAGAAATGTCCTGCTGGGGACGGCGGTGGATCCCACAGTGAGACCCAACCTGTGGGAGGGGCCACGTTTTCCTGAAAGGTGCATGAAATGGGCCATAATGAAGTCCACGACTCCCCACTTCTGAGATGTCCAAGCCCATACAGCTTACCATCTGCCTCCGTGTCTTCATCTCTAAGATTGGTCATGAGAGTACCTACCACATGGGGTTTCAGTGAGGATTACATGGTTTGAAGTGTGGGAAGCACCTAGAAGTACCTAGCACATAGAAAGCACTTGATGGTAGTTATTGATATTAATTATTTGTATATTTGATGTAAGGGACACCTGAGGGGATAAGAACCCAGTTAGGGCCAGGGTCTGCATTGAGGGGAACCCTGTGAATGATGGAATTTCTTGGGTTATGAATGGCTCTGAATATACCATTCTATACTACAATTTTTCTGAATTACCTAAAGCATCATATCAAACCTGAAATTCCTGCATTGTTGGGTATAAGGTAGGGATGTTTTAAGAAACAAAGTGTCAGGATGGTAAGAGAGAGTGAGGCTTGCCCCAGGAGAAACAGCACCCCCCCCCCCGACGTGGGGACTGTGTCAGAGCCCAGGAGTGAAGGAAGCAGGGGTCTGAGGGGGAGCCTGCAACCTGCAGAGGGGCCCAGACACTCGGGGGCATCCAGTGAGACTTGGATGTCAAAGATTCGCTAGAGGACACTGGTGGACAGGGAAGGAACAGAGTGGGGAACAGACACATGGATAACCTGGGAAGCATTTTCTCCGAATTTTCTCCTGTATTCCTACCTTCCTGATCATGTGAGATTACAGAGCACTTAAGAGCAAAACCCAGCCCACGTCGAGTGTTCTGGTCTCCGTGCAATGAATACAAAGGGATTATTGGCAAAGTCACCGACCAGGGCTTCTGCGAACTATGGAAGGAAGCAGCAGGTGTGAAATCCATTCGGATCTTGCCCGTCTCCGTCCTCCTCATCACACCCACCCCAAGTCAGAGAACCACCCTGCAGAACATTGCAAAGATCACAACACAAAAACAAGGACCAGCGTGTCTTTGTTTCCAGCTACAGGTTTATTTCCATGACAAAATCGATTTGTAGAGGTCACAGGACGCCAGACTCGCCCACAAGGGAGCACAGACAGATGGACTCCGCTCCCTGCCTCCCTGGTGACTGCGGGAGGGCAAGCAGAGCAGATCCAGCGGGCTCGCTGGTTCTGTGGGGGGGGACGGGAAAGCCCAGGGTGGGGGGAGGATGGATAACACAGGTACTGCATGGGGGGGGGGGATGCTTTCAGCGAGGCGGGAGAACACCATGCCCTTAGCAAGAAAGCCCTCGCCCCCCACCCCCGCCCCCAGCCCAAGGATACCGCCCGGGTGGTTAAGAAGTCTGCCCATGTGTCCCAACAGCAAAGCACAGGGAGCTTAAGCAGCCGGAGCACAGAAACATCCAAAGAGCAAAAGGCAAAGCGTTCTGGGGATTAGGGATTGATTTTCAGCCCAAGACACAAAGCCAGCTCGGACTTCTGAATTTTTCCATCCTTGTTCACATCACAGTGGCGCAAAAGAATCTCCCGGAACTTATCAAGGTCCACTCCGCTGATGTTGGGCTGAGGACAGTGAAGATCGCATGTCAGTGGGCCAGCCAGTGGCAGCCCCAGCCTTTCATGCCCGCCCCGCCCCACCCCACGCTCACTACCTGCAGGGACCCCCTGCCTGCTGAGCGGGGCTCTGTGGGGACAGGCCGTGCCCCGTGATTCCAGCTCCTCGTCGTGATAAAGATATTTGCCTCAGAGCAGGGGATTGTTGCTGCAGATCCTGCCTTGCCACACAGACCCACAGAGAACACCCATTTTACTCTCTCCTGGTGGGAGGTTTTTGTGCCTCTAATTTTATTTTATTTTATTTTATTATTTTAATATTTTATTAATTTATTTGAGAGAGAGGATGAGCAGAGGGAGAGGGAGAAGCAGACTCCCCACCAAGCAGGGAGCCCGATGCGGGGCTCGATTCCGGGACCCTGGGATCATGACCTGAGCCAAAGGTAGACGCTTAACCTGAGCCACCCAGGCGCCCCATGTGCCTCTAATTTTAAAAAGGGTTATAATGAATGAAAATCAAACTAGAACAGTATGTCCCTGAGCTGCAGATGTTGGATTTATTCCAAGGGATATTTTAGGGGCTAAGAAGTAACTGTGATACGCACCAGTTGGGAAAAGAACATCAAACTCAAAAGGCCTGCAAAAGCGAGCAATTGCGTGAACTGAGTGATTCTCCACAGGCTATTTAATGCTCATGATAACCTTGGGTAACCCAGGCTCACAGATTAGGACACGGACGCTCAGAGCTGAACCATCCTACCAAGCTAGGGAATTGCAACAGCATTTCTGATCCTGAGTCTTCTGCCTCCAATGAAGTAAGTGCTCTCATCCCCTCAATTCACACCACTGTGCTGGAGAGGCGGCGGTCTGACCGGCCGTGTGAAGGCTCGGGGTCTAGATGAAAAAGTCCAGGTCCACAGAGAAAGGAAACCCAGCTCATCAGATTCCAAACCCCTTGATTACTGAGCTAGTCTCACCCGCAAGCAGAGGAGGAGGCCATGTGCAGTGTTTGCTTTAGGAGCCGGGGAAGCTCTCCCCGTCGCCCAGCCCAAGCCGGGGCTACCTTGCTGCCGAAGAAATCTCCAAAACCCTTGAGTAGGAAACAAAGCCTTTCATTCTTCAACTAGACAGCTGAATTAAGACGAGCTAACCTGCACTGTCCCACAGGATAGATGAGTGACACCAAGTCTATCCCTTATCCCAGGTTTTCACGGAGGGAAGGATGGAGGGCAGAGAGCAACAGGACCTGGGAGCTAGATAGCACAGCAACAGTAACCTCCAACGTGGGGCAAGACTGCAGGGGACATCAGGACATGAATCTGCGGCCAACGGCACTCTCTGATGGAGGGTCCGTCAGTGATTAGACTAAGAGGACACACTGTCAGTATGTCCTCCTTGTCGGGGCTTACCCAGGATACTTCCTTGGGTGTCAGACAGGCAGGTATAGGTGTGGTCCAGGAAATGGCTTAGAAGTCCTGAGAACAGCAAGCTACACTCCATGGCTCCATATCGGGAGTCCATTTCTTGTACAGTTGCAAAGTGGGGACCTTTGGTTACCAGCATCCTCAACACTCCTGCCGCATCCTTTGTCCAGTTAGCAGCATTCTGCCCCAGGATGTTCTTAGCAAATTCCCATGCTTAGAAAAGACTCAGGTGGTAATCATTTACACATTAGCATGAATTAATTTGCCAGTGAATTTACCTCATTTAAGCTATTCTAAGCTTTTTTTTTTTTTTGAATTTGTTTCCTGCAAAAGGAATTATTTCCTTATTTTGTGAGTGTGTGAGTGTGTATTGGGAGGAGGGTATGAATGTGAGTGTATGTAAGGGAAGTTTCTTTGGACTTTCAGAGTTATGCTTTTAATGTTTGACAACTCACTGGGAGTCAGGAGACCTAAATGCCACTGTTCAATGATGTTTGGATCATGGAAGACAAATCACCTGAGATCACTGGGGGCCTCAGTTTTAATAACAAGTCACCATTATAAGTGCACACAGGTCCCAGATCTAAGGGTTCTACACAACTTAATTCTAATCTTCAGAACAACCTGATGAGGTTGTATCTACTATCAACTTTTAATTGACAGATGAGAAAACTAAAGCACAGAGAGGTTAATTAACCTTACCACTGTTCTAACCTTACCATGTACCACAGCTGGTACATGTCAGAACCAGATACAAACTTGGGCAGGCAGGCCCCAAAGCACATCTCTTTAACAGTACACTGTATCATAGCCGTCCATGCAAAAATGCATTTTGTATTTCTTATCCATCTCATAGGAAAGTGTGAGAGTGGATCTGGGGTAGCTGGCTGAAAATGGTTATCAGCCCCCACTTGAATCCTGGAACTAGGGGAACATTTGGGGCTGGATATATCTCCTTGTGCTTGCCCATGCTAAGTGCTCAATTACATCCATGGAATTAGTGAATGTCTCCAAATGCAGTGTTCATGTTTTCGTCATGTGCCCTCCCTTTTCTGTACGTTCCATCTCTCCTAAAACAGAGAAAGCGAATATCCAAAGCTTCTCCCCAGATAAGTCATTACCAGCATTCCCCAGATCTCCATGCTAGAGTCAGCAACAAGACCCCAAGGCCCTGCCTTTACTTGGAGTCACAAAACTAGCAAAAGAGGAGCCCCACGTTGGGTGTAGAGATTACTTAAAAAATAAATAAATAAATAAAATCTTTAAAAAAAAATAAATTACTAGTAAAAGAGGAATGCGTAGGTAAGGGATATCTAACCACAGGTAAAATCTTATACAGACACTAACACAATGACCGGGACTGGGAAATGCTTATCAGTGGAGGTCACCGATGCAGAATCTACCCAGAAACAAAGTTTGCTAATAGAAGGTCTACTCGAGGTTAGAGATGACTCTTCTGTCTTTTCTTTCCTTTACTCTCAAATTTCTCTATGATGTATGTATCATTTTTATGATTTAAAAAATGAAAAGAAACAGTAACATGCATGCTAAGGGCTAGCAGCTCCTTGGAGGATCACATATTAGATTCGATCCTTTAGGTTAAGTATTGTCCCTTCTTGCTAATCATCTCCTTGTCAACAACAGAGAAAAGCAGAAGCGGTGTCTAGCAGGAAAAAGAATGAATTCTGGGGAGACTGGGAGCAGGAACTCTCTTCGCTTCCAGGCAGACATCCTGGGCATCTCTGGTATCCCATCTGTTTGGCTTCCCACATTACCATCCACAATCCACAGTTCTACTCCTTGGTGTGGGGTGCTGGGCATCTTAAATGTTTTGCCTTACTACTTTCTACTTTAAGCTGTGGATTCTCGTGTTGATTTTCATGCTGTGCCAAGGGGCCTACAGACTCTTTATAAAAATTGTGCAGAAATTATTTTGTCTGATCTGAACATACTGACAGAGGACAGCCTTGGGCGCCATTTTCCAGAGATCAGGGAAAGGGATGTTCTGGTAACCAAATAATCTGTTAATACAGATTCAATATATGTATCATCCATAAAAGGCTATAAAGTAAGTTTATTTCAGGGTCATTATTGCAAACGTCAGGAATCCTGACCAGGACTCTCCACTGAGAAACTGAGCCAGCTCCCAGCTGACCTCATGACATGCTCTGATAATTGCTTTTAAAATAAATTCCAGGGGCGCCTGGGTGGCTCAGTCGGTTAAGGATCTGCCTTTGCCTCGGGTCATGATCTCAGGGTCCTGGGACCAAGCCCCGCATCGGGCTCCCTGCTCAGCAGGGAGTCTGCTTCTCCCTCTGCCTGCCACTCCCTCTGCTTGTGCTTTCTCCCTCTCTCTCAAGTAAGTAAATAAAATCTTTAAAAAAAAATCCAGATATTGGTTTGTTGACTTGTCCCATCGTCCTTTCTAATAAAATGAAAATTTAAAAATCGCAAGAGAGGACCATAGTTTATGAACCTGAGAATTATCAGAATTTACTCAAAGATTTTCCCTTGACAACATCCTTCAAACTGTATGGTGAATAGTTTTTTTAAGCAACCCCGAAGACTGGGAAAGATCCAATACAGGCTTGCACCTCAATGATCTGGCTTCAGAGGAGAACATTAATAATTAACTACTTTTTAAATACTTTTTAGCTCAATAAACCAGCCCTGGTCAACTGCTTTTCTACTACTGAGCCCGGCCTCACTCAGTCCTTGGAAACCGGCTCTCTTCACTTGGCTCGTACTTATATTGAGAGGTACCTTTTTGTTGAGCCAGAAGCCCCACTGAAATAGACGGGCAAGGACAAGAGTGATGGGGGGTCCTCCGATTTCCCATGGAGGTGATACAAATCTATCAAAGAGTGAGGCAAACGCATGTTTTTGGATGGCCTAGAATCTCCCCCCTTCTCTTTAATTTCCTCTGGGAAAATGTTTTCTCTACTCTGTGGCTGGTTTAGGTTTTCCTTCCCTATCTCCCAGTAACTTGTGGAAGCCGTTGCCAAGCTCAATGACACCTGAAAGGGTCTGGAGGTATGTGCAGCACCCTGGGCCATGGACTTGGGCAGTCGGCAGCCCGAGCTCCGTGGCTCAGAGGAGGCCGCACACTGCTCTGAGAAGCAGCGCCCCCCATCCCATGCTTTCTATCAAAGGCAAATTAAAACTGCGGTTTGGCCAAGCCTACCAACATGTCCTCTAGATAACTGCTCAGTTTCTATTACGGAAATCATTCTGGCATGAAATAGTAAATACAGTGGGACTTTCCTTTAGCAATCAATGCGGAAGGCACCACCACACCTGGACCCATCCGCTGCACAGATGCTGGTGGAGACTCCAACAGGGGCACCCGTGAAGGAACCAAAGAAGAGGCAGGGGACCAGCTGGGATGGGAACAACACAAGTGAGGAGGCAAAGAACACACCAAAGTCATCCTGACCAGCGTCCATGCCCGCTCAGTCACAGAATGTGAACTTCCTGGAGATTTGTGCAAAAGTTGGTAAATTGGGGGAAGTTTTCTGCTGCAAAACTCCATAGTTTTGTTGTTGTTGTTGTTGTTAGAGAAAGAGAGAGAGAGAGAGAGAGAGCGCTCGAGCAGGGACGGGGAGAAGGGGCAGAGGCAGAGGGAGAGAGAGAATCACAAGCAGGCTCCATGCTCAGTGCAGAGCCCAACACGGGGCTCGCTCTCACGACCCCAAGATCATGACCTGAGTTGAAATCAGGAGTTGACGCTTAACCCCCCGTGTGCCCCCCAAACTCCATAGTTTTAATCAGGTTTTCAAGCAGGTCTGGGATTCTAAAACCAGTTAACAATTGCTACTCTAATTTGTTGCCATTTGGGCTTATCAGGACAGATTCATCATGTCCTGTATAAACCTCAAAAAATCTCTAAGGATATGAATGTGCTAAATTCAGCGGCTAGACAGTCCCAGAGAAAAGGAAGAGTTGCCAAGCGTCTGCTTAACCAGATCAGGCAGCCAGTTACTACAGTGCACCAGGATCTCAAAGGAGATCGCTTGTGATGTAGATTATAATTGAAATCCTATCACTTCGAATCGCAGCAATGTCTTGATAGATAAGTAACCAGGATTTTAGGTCAGGTGTTAAAGCAGCCCCTCAAGGGGGGAAAAAAAATCTCAAATATGGGATTTATTTCATGAAATTAAATTAAAAGTTTTAGGTATTCTAATAACCAAGTCCAGGTGTAGAAAGGCCTTTCTGTAACCAAAAAATAAGCAGAACTGTGCTCTTCTGGTAAAAGAGAGGGTTTTATAGGATGGAAACAAGAAGCTGCTATGGGGTCACTTAATTAAAGCTCCAAATGATCTTAAGAGAGAAAGGGAGACATGTCAGTTCTCACAGAGGCTCAGTAGTTGTTAAATCGACTGTGTCCCTAGATTTAGTCTCTGGCATTAATCGTCAGCCCCACGGATTCTCAGAAGTAAACAGTGGAATCAGTCACAATGGCATCCCGGACCCACGAGGAGCGAAATCTCTACGGCCCCGTGAAATCACCTGGACAAGCTCCATCATGTCCTTGACAAACCCGTCCACTTCCGGGCCTTCCAGAGCTCCTGTTCTACTCTGAAATAGACAAGAGCCTGTCAGTCAAACATCATTTTCTTAAGTCAGAAAGCTAAAGAATAAATTAGGTGAATTGTGCAAATCAGTATTCTTCTGTGGTTGCAAAGATGTTAGGAAATGGCACGTTGCGGTGAGGTCCTCTGTGCAGAAAGTGAATGTTCCACAGACATGACAATAATTAATTGTACGTAACGACCCCCACGTAAACAAATGGGAGTCCCTTGGCTCTTGCAAATCTCATTAACATGATATATACCGACCTCATTTGCTTCCCAAATACCTGGCTTCTGTTCAGATAAGTGTTATTTGCACATCATATTGGTCCTTGGAAGAATATAGACTGACATTGTTTTTTATTGTGCTTTATGATTTAGCGAGGACTTGATGATTATTAAAGTTTTAAATCAGGAGTGACTAAATTGAGTGAGTATATTAGAATTATTATTTTGTCTGCACACAAACCCTTATTTTTTCCCTACTCATTCTACAAGAATGTCTATAAAATGCGATACATATTAAAATATTTCAGTTTCTTCTCTAAAGTCCCAGTCATGACAACTCATCCATCCATCTTTTCAAGTTTTCTTCACCCTGAAGCTTTAACGTATCATTTTAAAAAAATCTATTTTTTTAAAAAAATTAGTGTATTTACTGAACACTACCTGCCAGGCACCCTTCTAAGAGCTTTACACACATGAAATCACTGAATTCTCACACCAATTCCATGGGGTAGTTATTATTATTATTATCCTCGTCACCCTAACTTTACAGGTAAGGGAAACGAGGCACAGGGAGGTTAAGGAAACTGCCCAAGGTCACGTGGCTAACGAAGCATGATTCAAACACAGGCGATGGGTCACACAGCAACACTTTGCTGAGCTGCCTCTCCCAGGTGATGCTCCTTTCTGCTCAGAATGTGACACACTCAGATGTCCAGTCTGGTGAGTTTCAGGACGGCATCTCTTTTGACTTTTCCTAACTTTCTCATTTTTCTTCCTTCTTGCATTACCTTACCTTGTCTTCAAGAAATGCAATCTCCTTGCCATACTTTGTGCTTTAGAATTATTATTTTCTCCTCTCTGAAGCAGGACCACATAATCAATCAATCCTACAAGAAAAGTAGTTTTTATGTTGACCAGGGCTCGTTTTGCCTCTATTTCTTTGGGTTGGATGTGGTTTTTAACTTGATTGTTTGCTTTTGTTTTCAAGCATACTTTTCTAGACGGAGATCAAGAAGGAGAAACTTTCTCCCAGTTTAGAGCCAGAGGGAAAAGAAACATGATTTTATTCTCTTCTCAACCATAAATTCTCCTTTGTCCATTTTAACGTAGTTTTCAGAAGTTCACATGGAGAAGCTGAGGGTATGACATACCAGCATACATGTGGGACTGCTATTCATCATTATCAGTTTAGGGTCTGTGGGTAGGATGACCCCACATAGGGGCTAAACAAGCTTGCTCCCTAAAAGTAGCCAGCACAATCCAAAGAGACACACTTACAACATCATAGTGGGCAAAGATTTTCTCAAAGTCCCTCTTTCTTTCTTCAGTGGAACAAGCCTGTGTGTGGAGAAAACAGTATGTCAGTCCAGCATTGGGACGCTTCTGATGTACAATTCTTCCAGGGTTATAGACAACTTTTATAAACTTTTATGATTTTTTTTTAAGTCAATGACCCTAATCCCTTGATTCCAACAGTGAGCCTTGCTGGTCTCTAGATAAATTACAGTGAGACAAACAGATGCCTTCCTTTCTTCCCTCCCTCTCGAATTTATGGAGAGACATGAATGACACAAGCCCACCTAGAGAAATGTCACTACTTACATCCATTTTAAATTGGAGAAGGAAGTTTTCCTGAAGAGCCAAAATCCTAAATGGAAAAGAAGAAAAGAAAGTAATTTACGTGATGATCTGTCAGCTCTCAAAGGCAAGTAGATCCATAACTCTGGCATGAGGAAAGGGCAGGCAATTTCCAGATCATTTTGCAGAAGAGGGTGAGTGCTTGAAAAATGGGAATTTCTATATTGTAAGAACAAATTAAAAAATTAATTGGGAGAGACTTTCATAGGGATTAGTAGTCACCATAGAGAGACTTTTAAAAAGTCGTCTTGGTGGAAAATGGCAGAAGGGCTTATGAAAACTCTCTCCTCCATAACAGCAATGAGAAAACTGGCGCAAAAAAAAAAAAATCAAAATAACTTTTTCAGAATTCCAGAAATTCAAGTCTTACAGAAATCTGGGGAGTGTTTATCTTGGAAAAATGACTAAATCTGGGTAAGAACAGTGGATTTTGTGGCTTTTTAACTTGCTTCATCCCTCCAACCCCCTCAACTCCATGGTATCTTCGAAAATGAAGAGCCCATAGTCCCAGGAAAATGAACATTCTAGCAGCTGTAGTGAGCAGAACAGAGTTGGAGCCCTTTCAAGATCTAATTCCCAGAGAACTGCCATTATTTGACTTCTTTGATGTTCTCTGAACGACCCCACTTGCAAGGTGCACTTATTCGACCTGATTTTGAACTCACCTAGTGGAAAGGCCTTTTACCTGGGAGCATTTGTCAAAAACAATGAAAAGCAATTATTTAAGATGACAGCCGACCACGGTGGCGGGTAAGAGTTTGGTTAAACAGGGCGCCTGGGTGGCTCCGTCAGTTAAGTGTCTGACCTTGGCTCAGGTCATGATCTCAGGGTCCTGGGATCGAGTCCTGCATGGAGCCAGGCTTCGTGCCCAGCAGGGAGTCTGCAGGGAATCTGCTTCTCCCTCTCCCTCCCCCTCTGCCCCTCACCCCTGCTCATGTTCTCTCTGTCTCTCTCTCTCATAAATAAATAAAATCTTTAAAGAAAAGAGTTTGGGTAAACAACAGGCTAACTAAAAAAGCTTAAAAGGAAAATTTGGGAGAATGAGATGTCCACTGGGCTTAAGTTCTAACATATTTCTGGGAATCTAGAAAGCTATAGACATGCATTCGACTACATCCATGCCCAGGACTGTGTGCATGCCCTGAAAAGACCTCAGGAGGCCCGAAGGTCTCACCAGTGGCTTATCCTCAGGCTCTGTACAAGCAGAAAGTTAAGCCTAAGCAGAATTGTAAACTTCCTGGTTGCATGTAGAAGATGTGCCCTAACCCATACACAGGGCCCCTCAACAAACATTGGGAGACATACAAGGAATCTCTGCCCAATCTTTAACTAACCATTCAGCAACCAAGCAGAGACTTCAGTGTCCACATATGACAAAGAAAAAGATTTTACAGGATTAGTTAGAAAAAATCATTAAGCAAAAAGACAACAATTATCAACAATAATAAATGTGACCCATAAGAAATACTAAAGGGATTCTTCGAGCTGAAATGAAAAGAACACGAGACAATTGCTTCAGTCCACATGAAGAAATAAAGAACCTCAGCCAGACATGAAAGGCCACGTATTGTATGACTCCATTTATACGAAATACCCAGAATAAGCAGATCCATAGAAACAGAAAGTAGATTAGTGGTTATCAGGGGTTGGTAGGTGAGGGAAGGAGAGAGTGATTCCTGATGGGTATGGGGCATTTTTCTGGCACAATAGAAATGTTCTAGAATTGGGCAGTGGTGATGGTTGAACAGCCTTATGAATAGACTAAAGTATACCAAATTGTACACTTTATAAAAGTAAATGTTATAATACATAAATGATAAGCAATAAAAAAAATACAGGTTTTTTTTCTTTTGGAAAACAAATGTATTTCCGTACTTCCTGCTTAATTACAATTGTAGTTAATAGAATACAGTCTGTTTCAAAAGACTAAAGCATTGGATTTATGTTGCACTCATAATCGTGCATTCACAATATAGAGAAAGGCAGAAAAAGTATCACACAACAATTTGGAAAATTTTGCTCTTCCGGATGCCCAGGGTAAAGAATTAATCTGAGCCAAGTAAAGGGTAGAATATCCTGGAACTCTACGAGGAATCCTGTCCTTATCTCTTGGTTGGCACCAAGCAGCCTAAATCATAGTACCAGCAAGAGGACATGTACTTGAGAGGCGCTTGTATGTGGAGCAAGACGGCTGCCTTCTAGAGCTGGGAATAGAGAGAGGCGTCCCGTGCATAAATGTTTTAAGACCTTTAAGTCATTCGGTTATTTCCCTATTGCTGCTGTGACAAATGAGCTCAGATGTGGTGGCTTCACCAGCACAAATTAGTATCTTACAACACTGGAAATCAGGGTCTGAAGCAGATTTCACCAGGCTAAAGCCAAGGTGTCCATGGGGCTGCTTCTTTCTGGAGGCTCCAGAGGAGAATCAGTTTCCTTGCCTTTTCCAGCTTCTAGAAGCTGCCTGCATCCTTTGGCTCATGGCCCCTTTCTCCACCTCAAAGCCTTCAAAACCCGACCCTCTGCTTCCTTCTTCCACGTTTAAAGGACCCTTGTTATTACTCTTGAGCCGACCTGGATAATCCAGACTAATCTCTGTGAGGTCTGTCAATGAGCAACTTACAATGCTCTCTGCAGCCTTCATGCATCTTGCCACGTAACATAAAATGTTCAGTGGTTCTGGGAATTCAGACATGGACATCTTTAATCTGCCTACCCTCGTTGTCACTGTCAAATTCCGTATCAAATTGGTTTTGAAAGAAGGTAATAACTGTTTTGTCGCTTTGCATCTCTGTTCAGTACGAAGTCAATTCTTCCTTCAGTCCACAACTACTCATTGAATCCTCCTCTATACATAACACTCCACTAGGAGAGAAGCTATTTAAGAGATTAAGGCATACTTCCTACCTTCTGGGTAGGCCCCCAGTGGGGGATGTTTGGCTAGCTGCAGGGAGGCCTTTTGGTAATCACAGTGACAGAGGGCACATGACTGACAGAAGGGACATGACCTCCATAGATGGGGGCTGGGGATGCTAGATGTCCTGCATTGCATGGAAATTTCCACAGAATGGGGAATCATCCTGTGGAATGTCCAGGGGAGCACTCATGTGTGCACAAATCCTGCTTATAATTATATTTGAACCGAGAACTGAATTCCTATTTACATAAAAATCCAGGGTATTTTTCTCAAGGTATACATAATTTGCTAATTGTGTCAATTATCCATATAGTATAGTGAGTCGTGTAAATTGAGGGATGACTGCACTTTGTTTCATTTGGAATGCTATCAAGACTTATTTGTGGGCACCTGGGTGGCTCAGTCGTTAAGCGTCTGCCTTCGGCTCAGGTCACGATCCCAGGGTCCTGGGATCGAGCCCCGAATCCGGCTCCATGCTTGGCAGGAAGCCTGCTTCTCCCTCTCCTCCTCCCCCTGCTTGTGTTCCCTCTCTCGCTGTGTCTCTCTCTGTCAAATAAATAAATAAAATCCTTAAAAAAAAAAAAAAAGACTTGTTATTTATAAAATTGTATCAACAGCAACTGAGCTCCTGACACATGAGTTGCCAAAAGGTCACATTTGTATCAGTCAACATCTGAACTGACATATTCACAGTAATTCTACACCACGATGTAAGCAAGAACCCCTCCCTTATGTCTTCCTGTGGTTCTATCTATCCACCTAAGCACTGAAATACACCTTATTCTATTATTAACTGTTTTCCTTTATTTCCCCTTTATGTGTTATAGTTTGTGCATTATACTAACTGTTTTAGCATTATGCAGACAGGTAGATTATATTATCTGTGGATTTTATTTGAGGAGTAAAAGTATCGTTGACGATAGGGTAAGAGAGCAGTTTACAGCAGTGGCACACTCTAGCCTCCAGAGGGCGCTCGAGGCTCCTGGACTCACTACCTCTGAGAAGCGCCTTGAGTCAGGGGGGGTGGGTGTTTTTGGTGAGGGGAGCAACGAAATTAAATGCTCTTGTTTTCATCCAGATGCCATGTTTTGAGTGAATCTTTTAGGTATTTGGGTAATCCCGTTAGGACTGGCTCTCACACAACTCTCAGAGTAGCTAGACTGACCTCTACTTGAGAGGAAACCTTGCCTCAGTTGGCCAAAAGAACTGTGAGAAGTGAGTGGGACCCAGGGGACAGATCTACGAGGCCACAGGGTGGAGATCCCTCAGTCCTCAACCTTTGGGAGAAACACTCTTGTCCTCCTCTGGTCTGGCTGGTCTCTCCGTGCCTCTTCCCCAGCAAAGTGGCCAAATTTGGGACGAAGTTCCTGGGGAAAGTAACCAAGGAGGATGAGGCTCAAAATAGAAGACCCTATAGAGTGTTGGGGTCAATGTCCTGGTAATCACTAAGGAGAGGTTCCTCCTGGTGTGTCCCCATTCGCAGATGCTGCCAAGAGAGGAGGTAGCTCGTACAGGGCTTTGTGATTCTGAACTCAAGTTAGTATCTGCTTATGACATTGCCAAGTTAACTCTCCGTCACTGAAAATCACCCTCAGTCCGTGGACTCCCTGTCTTCCAGCCACACCTGCTTGTGCCCTGCAGCCTGTAACTGCCACCCCCGTCACTGTCCACGCTACGGCTCCATCCACCCCATCCGCAGGCCCCTGGGATCGTAACTGCTCCCCCTTCTGGGTTATACCCATGTATTCTGGATCCACTGATTTTTTTTTCCTCTCTGTGACAATCACAGGTCATCTTGGGGTCAGCCAGCCTTGAGATGATGTGCTGACATGACCATCATGTCACAACACCAGCCTTGCAGACGCACTTTCCCAGGTACTAGGCCACTTCTGCTGTCACCCCTCCCCTCCCCTACTCTGGCCTTCGGGTGCTGGGTGCCCATGGAGGCTACTTCAACACCGAAAAACCAGACAGCACGGCTGGAGCCTGGTTCAGTCGTCCCCTGTCCTGAACTAACTGCTCAGCTTTCCCAGAGCCAGTGAATGAGATTCCAGACATATTTTCATGGGGTCCTTATGTGAGACCAGGAACATCTGGCCTTTGAAGGCAGGGCTGGCCCACGACCCACCTATAAAATTTTATGAAAACTTTGTGTATTGCACATTTGGGGGGTGTAGTTTTTATTATCTTTACAAAGGGATCTGTCACCCCCAGAAGATTCTAAACAACTGCTGTTTATTTGGCCAGATGAGCCTGTTCTTCAGGGTTCCAGGCAAGACTTGACCTCTGCCTTTCAAAGGGAAGTGTGTGCATCGTGGAACCCCCACGATGGTATGTCTGAGTCTGACACCATTCTCAGGCTACTCACCTTGCCAAGTCATTAAGATCCAAACGGCCATCCTTATTTTTGTCAAAGATCTTCATCTGGAATGCAGAAGGGGACACAACTGTAAGAAGTACTTGTAATGGGAATTCACTTTGAAAGTTACCAAAGCACTTTGTCCTTTTGCCATTCCGATCCCAAAGTTGTCTAAACCGCCTGAGGCTGTCATGTCACAGGGCACTCCCTACTGAGCACAGAAGAAATACCACTTTTCCACTGAAGGCCGAAGGCGTTGAGGAGGACAGGATAGAGGGGAAAGTCCACCTCTCTAGGCTTCAAGGATTGTAGGAAGGAAGAGCGGGACAGGCAGAGATGGGGGCATACAGTGGACAGGTGTGTGACCTAACTCTGCTGGAAAGGGGTTCCGGAGGGAGGAGGGCACTAATGAGGAAGGAGTTGCTGTGGTTCAGCCTCCCCAATTTGGACACTGGGTTGAGAGCCAGTGGACTTGCCATGGGGCTGGCTGTGATGGGATGAGGTGACGCTGGAACCGAGGGCGGGAGTGGACCCCAGAGCCTCAGGCTGGAAAGAAGATGTGTCATAGGGAGACACTTAGCATGTCTGACTCCATGTTGCCTCTGTTTCCCTTGCTGCTTCGACGTATGGCTGACAGACCTCCATGGACCCCTGCACATAGGCATGCTACAGCTGAGACGTGCAAAATCCACTCTTTCCCCTAAACCCACTTCACCCGAGGAGAGAAGGAAGTACGTATAGAAATAACAATGCTGAGATTTACAGAGACACCATGACCAGATTCCTGTACGCAAAGATCAAGTAACCAAGGACAGAAAGGTTTCATAACCTTCCTTGGACCCCTGTGGGCTCCTGAACATCTACAGATATCAGTCACCTCTTGACTCCAACCTCCTCCTAAAATAAAAGAAGCTCACATTTCATGCTAAGGAAAGATGTTCTTGGGGACCACAATCTGCCACCTCCTTGGTTTGCTGGCTTTCTGAATAAAGTTGCTTTCCTTCCCCCAGCATCTTGCCTCTTGATTTACTAGTCTGCCGTGTGGCAAGAACATGTGGACTCTGCTACAGATGTGGCAGAGAATTCGTGGTCTGCATCCAGCAAGAGGTAAAGGATGGCTGGTGGATTGGCCTATAGGTCCCAATGGGCTAGCCAGAGCTAGGAGCATGGGTTATGAGCTCATCACAGACTTCAGCTGTGAATACCAGCAAGGCAGCAACTGAGTGACCAAGAAGCATCGTCCTGGAGACCAGAGGAGTCAGAGCTTTGTGCCCAGGGACATCGGCTCTCCACCTCCACCATTAGGGCCCAAAGCCACTTTTCTCTCCTTGATGCCTTTTTTTTTTAAGATTTTATTTATTTATTTGAGAAAGAGAGAGCACATGAGGGGTGGGAGGAGCAGTGGAGAGGCAGAGGGAGAGGAAGAAGCAGACTCCACACTGAGCAGGGAGCCCTACTCGGGGCTCGATCCCAGGACCCGGAGATCATGACCTGAGCTGAAGGCAGACACTTAACCAACTGAGCCACCCAGGCGCCCCTCCTTGATGCCATTTTTGCAGAAGACTCTGGGTTGGACGAAGATGACTGAGAAATCGAAGAGGCCAAGCTCCTCCTTTTGTGGAAAGACTTAGCATTATATCCAAAGAGACTATTTAAATTATTAGATCAGACGAGGCTTTATACAAGATAGGATTCAAAGTTAAAATCAGGAAGACCAGATTAGGCAAGATGGAGGAGAGACATTTCATGGCACATTTGAGTCATAGTTAGTGAGTGACTTTGTGACTTCACAACATTTTAGTGCAGCAGAATATCTCTAAACATATTTGTAGGAAGAGGCTGTACAGGGGAAAAGAGGGAATGAGAAAATCTGAGAGTATGTCTAACAGATTTTTGCATTAAAAAACATATCCGTCCATCCTTCCTCACTCCCTAAATCCAGTTTCTTTTTAATATTTGAAATGAATTTGAAAGTCCATTTCCCTAAAACTTTAGCATCAAAAATGTATATTACAGAATCTATTAAAAAACAGGTTATATATTTATACACTCGGATATATAACACATCCAATCACGCCCCTTAAACATAAATTTTATATCCAGTAAAAATCCAAGAGCAGCACATTTTGCTGGAGACTGAGCCATGAGTTATTTCCCATGGCACCATCATTATAAAAGGTTCTATTTTAATAGAGAGCTAGACGATCTTGAGCTTTAAGCAAGTAGTAACTCATCTCAAAAGATGTGGACCCATCTCCACTGTTGTGCAAATTATTCAAAGGGGAAAATGCCCTTTGCTCAAAATTGGCTTGAGGAAGAACTGAACACCAATGTGGTAAATCACATTTCTATCCATCAGAAAATGGGCTACCTGGTTCACTTAAGAAGTTCAGCAAAGTGGTCTGAGTCAGAGTTGTGAACTGAGGGTCATCACCATTAGCTGGTATTTCAAGTCATGAGGCTGGTTGAGGTCACCAGCACAGGAGGGAAGAGCTCTTGAGATGGAGCCCAAGCATGTTTCCCATCAGCCCGGATCAGAGAGTTGAATGTCTCCATCTATGGAAGGAAGCAGCTCGGAAGCCAGCGACTTCCATCCAGGCCCAAAGGACAAGGGCTGGGACCAGGGTAGAGGATGGGACAAGCTTAACCTCACATGTCTCTCTGTCTGCCATGGTCTCAGATTTTAATTTGCACATTTACAAGAGTTCAAGTTCCACACTCTAATTAGGTACGTGAACTTAACATCTCCCACATGCATTAGCTTACGTTTTTAAAAGTTCAACATTACCTGATAATATGCTATTCGGACAGCTAATCTTTCCCCCTGCCAGGTACTCGCAGCCCCTCTCAATTAGATGTCCTACTTGGATTTTGTTAATAGGCTGTTTCCTTCCTTGTCCAGAACATTAATTAGGAGTTAGAAGAAGGTTAGGTCTGCAGACCTTGACTTTTCGCTTATGACTCAGTGCTCTGCTATGACTCACTCATTGTTCAGGCTGTGGACAGCTTTCAAAAGTGCCAATCCTTATTTGAGTCTATTTGAATTCATTTAGCAGGTTACATTTCCTAAGTAAAGCATTTGATGCGAAACCCGGGAACCAGATCTGTAAGGCAGAGCTACTCCCACTGTACCCATTGCTCAGAGAAAGCCATTAAAGCAGCCATGAGGTGGCTTCACACTTGGTGTATCACTTAGTTAGACGAAGGTTCACACTTGGTGTATCACTTAGACTAAGGTTCACACTTGGTGTATCACTTAGTTAGACGA